AGGCAGGACTCAAAGGGTCCCTTGTTTGGTGGACAGGGATACCCTGTGGAAAGGACAGTGAGTCCTTATATTTGCACTAGCAGGCTTACAGTGTGCATTGTGTTCTAAAATATTGTTGTTATATCCTGACCTGCTGAAAGTGATGACCTCAATGCACCAGGAAATGCTTAAGATAATGGGGATCATGAGCTGCTGCTGCTGGTGTCCCTGGCACAGTTGATTCTGCCCTCACCAGAACCTCTTTAAACTTTCTCTTCTCTCCTGGTCCAGAGCAGAGCATTTAAATGCTAATTTTCAAGCAGTCCTATGAACAAGGAAACTGGAATGAACCCATGTCAGACAGTTCACATAATTTTTTAAAATTCTGAACTTAACATAAAGCAAGCATTTCCATATACAGAGTATAGCAGGTAATTAGGATTGCACATGGTTCCTTGAAGGTAGAGACTGGATTTTGTCTTTGTATCTCTATCACTTAACACAGTGCTTAGCACGTAGTAAGTTGCTGTGTGTTGACTGACTGACTACTTCTTCCTCCCCATATCCCTTCATCTTTATTCTACATTCCCACAAAGTATCCACATCTTAGCACAGTGCTTTTACAAAATCATCACCATCACATAATATTACATTTAATAGAACAGCTGATCCCCAGATTAACAATCCTGGCTGAGAGTCATGTTCCATCACTGAGAATCACTTCCTTAAGAGCTGAACCCAGCGTGAGTCAAATATATTGGGCAAAATGTCAATTCAATAGTCACTTCACTGATAATACCAGAAAAGGTTTCAATTCAAATGGTCAGTTTACAAAATCAATCCTGTCACTTCAGCAATAACACCTCTCCCTTAAACTTCAACCCAATGATTCAGGAACATAGAATTTCAGTAATGCTTTGACTCACAAAAATGTAGTAGTTATAATGAAATAATTGGTTTTATCGGCAGGAGTTTCAAAGCCTGGATAAAAATTAAAACAAAAAAAAATTGCCATGATTGTTTGCATCACTGGAGTAAATGACTCCAGCTTTACACAACACTCAAAGCAGCCTTGCTTTTCAAAGAATCCAAAATATTCAAATAGTAATAGTTTTGCAAAATCCTAGGATAAGCCCCCAAATATAGCACCTCTTAATATTATCTGCAGGTGTCTAGCACCCTGTTTGTATCCAAATTCTGTTGCTCAACAGCCCCATTTTATCTTTGTTACAAACAATACTAGAGCAATACAAAAGAACCTTTACTAAAATAGAAATGCAAGATAAATAACAAGAAAATGACAATATCCAGCAGTCTCAAACTACCTCCTCCCACCACACTCAGAGGCAACAGAATGACTGACAGCAATGGGTATAATATTTCTATCTGATCACTTCCCTATACAATTCAACGCTTCTTGGAGCAGCAGCAGCAGAGGGGACCAGGTTTCTTGTTGCAGGAGCAGCTAGATGATCCCCGAAATCCTGGGCAGAACTTAAAAATGCTTACTCCCACCCTCATCAAAGGTATCCACATGGCATGCCAGAGCTCAATGCACACCTGCTGTTTTCCTCTTCTCTCTCTTATTTTTCTCGTGTTTCTTCTTTTTTCTTTGGTTCTTGCTTGAATTTTTTTTGTCAATTTTAAAAAATTCTGAGCTTAACACAAAGTAAATATTTCCATATACAGAGTGTAGCAGATAATTAGGATTGTACATGAAACCACAAATCTTTAGTTCTTATAGTTTGCTTTTCCTTGTAAATATGTAATAAATTCAATGTTATATTCAAAGCTATTCTGTTCACCTGGGTTTATTTCTGAACTTTATTGTGTTTACTTCTGTGAATTTCTAAAATATGTCAATGGCCCTCTTTTATTTTTTCTTCCTTTTTTTTAAAAATAATACTATTGCTAACCCTCATCTACCTCCTAAATCCCCGATTGAAAAAAAAAGGAAAAACAAAACCTTTGTAACAAATATTCATAGTCAAACAAAAACAAATCCACATCATTAACCATGTCCAAAAATATATGTCTCATTTTGCACCTTGAGACTATCACTTGTCTGTCAGGAAATGGGTAGCATGCTTCACTATCAGTCCTTTGGAATTGTGGTTTATCATTTTATTGATCAAATTTCTTTTTTTTTAAATAATATTTATTCCTATATTTTGTTTTTACATGACCTAATTTGCTTATGGATTATTATGGCCAAAGAATTCATCTTCCAGTGGCCAACCTACTGATGGAGAGACTCTGTATCTAGTCAGATTCAGCTCAGTCTGTCATAAGATGAATGCATTGCATTCAAACAGTGAAGGTACCGTCCTGTAGAAAGGAGGTAAGCTGTAGTGTAGGCTAACTTGAAGGCTGGTATTTGAATGAATAGTTGGGATCAAGAGAGGGTTTTTTCAAGGGTAGATTGTTTGTAGGCAACAGGAAATGAGCCAGTAGAAAAGGGAAGGTTCAAGATGAGAGAGGGAAATGATCTTTCTAAATCTCAGGTCTGACCATGTCACACATACCTCTCCCCTTAGTCAATAAATTCTAGTTGCTTCCTATCACTGCCATGATCGAATAGAACATCTTCTGTTTGGTATTCTAAGCCCTTCATAACCTTTGCCCACCCTCTCCCTCTCCCTCAGCCTCTCTAGTCTTCTTACACTTTACACCTTCCTCGCAAGTCCCAGATAAAATCCCACCTTCTACAAAAACTCTTTCCCAATCACCCTGAATTCTAGTGCCTTTCCTTTGTTATTTCAAATTTATCCTGGATATAGCTTAATTGTATATAATTGTTTGTAAATTGTCTCCCTTATTAGACTGTGAAGTCCTTTGAGAGCAGGAGCATTTACCTTTTATGGTACCCCTAGCACTTAGCACTTAGGGCAGCTAGGTGGCACAGGAAGACCCATCTTTATGAGTTCAAACGTGGCCTCAGACACTTACTAGCTGTGTGACCCTGGGCAAGTCACTAACCCTGTTTGCCTCAGTTCCTCATCTGTAAAATGAGCTGGAGAAAGAAATGGCAAACCACTCCAGTATCTTTGCCAAGAAAACCCCAAATGGGGTCACGAAAGAGTCAGACACGACTGAAAAAGAACTCAGAAAATAATAAACATAAAGCATTTAGTACAGTACCTGGCACATAATAAGTGCTTAATTAATATTTATTGACTGATTGTATGAGGAGACAGGAAGGAATGAGATCAGGTGTACAAGTAGAGGGATTGACCTTGATGAGGAGTGGCGCAAACTCTTTATTAGAAAATTAGAGAATGGAGAATGATGTCAATAGGATATTAAGATATAGGGGAGCAGAGGGACTCCAATTAACATCCTTTATTTTCTCAGTATCACTGTTGGGAATGGATAGAGAATCAGTTAGAGAGGGGTAAAATGATTTCTCTGCAGTAGCAAGAGCCCAGTTGAGTTTGGTAAAATAAATTTGTAGTAGACCCAGTCAGCATAGGTTGGGTTGTGAAAGGGAGATGAGATGCCAAGACCGTTGAGCAGCAGTGAGGAGCAGAGAAAGCCGATCATAAGGAGTTATTCGTTGTGGGGGTTTGGCAGGGCATGTGTGATCATAGGACCGAGGGTAAGGTATTCAATAATAGAGAATAACCATCTCATGTAGACCTGAAGAGCTGTTAGTAGTAGCTCAGTGATCTGTCTCTTTATAATTTGTAGTGGCTAATATTTAGATACATGTCTGAAACCTTAGTAACTCAGAGCTTCGCATATCTACAGGGATCAAACTGTAATTGTTTGCTATACAAGTTATTTATTTTATGTATGTGTTTTTCATTAGAGAGGCAGCATGGTACACATGGGGCTGCCTCTGATTGAATGTAATATCCTCAAGGGCGGGGACTGTTTCATTTTTGTCTTTATATTTTCAGCCCCTGGCACAGTGCTTGGCACATAGTAGGTGCTTCATAAAGGCTTATGGGTAGCAGGTAGATAAAGAAAGATGAGATAGATAAGGCCAGCCCTCGGGCTGACCTTGGAGTCAAGAGCAAGGAAGCCAATGTCCCTCAAACAGAGAACTTTATATTTGATCATGGAGGTGATAGGGAACCATTGGAGTTGATTGATTGACTGGGCTGAGGGGTGGCGGTATGTGTGACATGGCCAGACCTGATCAGGATTTAGCAACATCGCTTTCTCCTCTCTCATATTGAACCTTTACTTATCTACTGGCTTGTTGCCTACAATCCATCCTTGTAAAAAGCTCTCCCTTAATCCCAACCATTCACTCAACTACCAGCCCCTCAAGTTATCCTACATCTCATCACCCTTTCACAAAAAAGTTGTCTGTATTACATTCGTTTCTTGACATGTACTAGCTGTGTGACCGTGGGCAAGTCACTTACCTCAAGCAAGTGCCTCAAGCGACACAGTCAAAGACTATAAATTACAGACTGGTTGCTGATCTGTGCCAGTGGAAGGAATTTCCTCATCAAGTCTTCCCTACACTGATAACATCACAGATCCAGACAAAACCAAAACCAGCTATTTCCATATTGCTTAAATATTTTGGAGAGAAAATAACAATTGAATTCAACTTTTGAGTAGACAAAAGTGATCAAGCAGCATTGTCAACCAATATTCTCCCCTGACCAATATTCTTTTAACAATATACACTTTTAAGAGAAGATTTACTGGGAATTAATAACTTGAAAGTAATCCTATCAAACAAAGTCAATCTTTTTTTTTCCTGTTGACAACTTCCTCTCAAATGTTTGAACAGGGAAGAGAGTTTCAATAAGCACAAAATACATCCATCAGCACCAAGAGCAGAAACATTCAGTGTCAGATTTCAAAGGCAGGCTGACGTTGAATTCTTTAAGTTACAAGTAATATCTCAGCTTTGGATAGGTGATGGAGATTCTAATGTTTTAGTTTCATTATTGGTGAAGAAAATGCATGCATAGGCCAGCCTTTTCCTTTCCAAATTTACCCCTAAATCTTAACACCTTGGCCTCACATTGCCTTTGCTTTCTTGTTTTCTCTGACAGCTTAAGAGGAAACTCCATTGGGGCAGCTGGAGCTAAGGCCATGGCTAATGCCCTGAAGACAAACCCCAGTCTCCGGATGCTCAAGTGAGTAGTTTTTGATAATTGGGAGGAAAAAAGGCAAGTTGTAGCAGGACTTTAAGACCCTTAAGTGGCTGCTGTGGATTCCCCCTAGAGTGGTTTCTTTCTGAATAATTCAGACCTTATATAAAGTGGAGGGCAGCTAAGTGGCACAGTGTATAGAGTGCTGTGCCTACAGTCAGAAAGACTCATCTTAGTAAGTTCAAATCTGGCCTTGGACATTTACTGGCTATGTGACCCTGGGTAAGTTATTTAACCCTGTTCGTCTCTGTTTCTTCATCTGTAAAATGAACTGAAGAAGGAAATGGCAAACCACTCCAGTATCTCTGCCAAGAAAACCCCCAAAAGGAGTCATGAGGAGTCAGACATGACTGAAATGATTAAAGAACAACATAAAGTCTCAGCTCTGAAAACACCTACCTGTATGTGATCTTGGGCAAATCATTTTAACCTCTTTGGGCCTCAGTTTTCTTATATGTAGAATGAGAGGATCGGACTAAACCATCTCCAAGGTCCCGTCTACCTCTAACAACCTATGTTTATAAGGCAGGGTCCTTCTGGCCATCTGCATACAGTGTACCTTAATATTAAGTGTCAAAGGCAACTGAACTGTTGCGATAGTAGAGAAATCATAGCAGCAGCTGCTGCCACTCTATGACATTGCCTAGAGATTTTATCCAAAACATCAGTGGACAAATCAAACCCCGAATTACATGTTACCTTTCTAGTCATATGGTTCCTTGGTGTTCTCTTAGCCTACAAGGGTCACTATAGGGTTTTTTTTCCCCATCTTTTCCCTAGTCTTCAAGAGAACTCCTTGGGAATGGATGGAGCCATCTGCATTGCCACCGCACTGTCCAGCAACCACGGACTCCAGCATGTGAAGTGAGTGATGGTTGAAGAAAAAAGTAGAAGCTTAGTTCAGGGACACCATTCTCCCCTCATCCTTTTAGAGCAGTCTTCCAAATAGGACACTTGTCCGTGTCAAGTCAGTTGAAAGAATAAAACAGGCTATCTCTGAGACCTTATTAGGTAAGGCATTTATTAAGAGTTTACTGTGTGCCAGGCACTGTGCATTCTTGGATGACAGAATATAGAATCAAAAAGATCTTTACAAGATAGAAGGATTTCCACCAACAAACTGAAACTAAATAGAGGTAAATGCAAAGTACTACATTTAGGCATGCACAAAATTCAATCTCATGAATATAAGACAGGAATGTGAAAAAAGACAATTTTAGTGGATTGAAAGGCTCAGTATGTCAGTAGTGTAGTGTAGTTGCTAAAATATCAACAACAAAAATTCAATGCAAGCAAAAAAAGAAAAAAAATTAACTTAGTCATAGTCTTCATTAATTAGAGGTATAGAAGTTAATAATAATTCTACCATAAGCTATACTGATCAGACCACATGTGGAGAAGTGCATTCAGTTCAGTTCTAGATACTGCATTTTAAGAGGATCACAGGCAAAGGAAAGGGCATCCAGAAGATGGTGAAAAAGCTAGTGAAGGATCTGGCAATTGTGTCCTATAAGGGTCAGTTGATGTTAGGGACGTTTAGCCTGAGGAAGAAAGCAGAGGGATGGGGGGTTGAAGATTCTTGTCTTCAAATATCTGTCATGTGACAGGGGGAGTAGACTCATCTTTTGTTGCTTCAGTGGGCAGAACTAAGAGCAATGATTCAGTGATACGGAGGAATAGATTTGGGTTCAATCGAAGGAGGAACTTTCCAGCAGTGTCTAGATCACCTGTATAAGGATGCTGTAAAACAGGAGTTCTTAATTTAGGGTCCATGGATAGATTTTGGGGGTCCATTAACTTAGATAGGAAAACTTATATCTATTTTTGCTAACCTCTTAACTTTAGCATTTCCTTTAAAGGGATCCACAGGCTTCAGCAGACTGTCAAAGGGGTCCTAACACAAGGAAGGCTAACAATCCCTAGTGTAAAGGGATTCTTGAACTTAGTGGGAAGTTGAGTTTGGTGACCTATAAAGTTACTTTCAAGTCTAGGTTTGTATGATGCTGCTTCTTCTGGACAGTGTGGGCCCTAGGCAACTGACTATTTGCAAACCTTTACTAAAGGATTTGGATCTCAAAGTTTGAACAGCAGTAGGGTTGACAGAACGGTAATTGGAATTGGCTCGCCTTGATCTGCCCTTGCAAGCTGGCTTTCCACTCCCACCATTCTCCTGAAATAGCTAAGAACCAAGGACTTTAAAGACAAATTCAGTGGCCTCTTTGTCCTCATCCTTCATGAACTGTGCAGTGTTTGATACATAATTTGATACATGAGCTCCCCCCTCCTTCTAGACAAACGGTCCTTTCTTGCCTTTGGGGACACGGTACTCTCCTGGTTCTCTTATACTGCTCCTCTATGTCTTTTGTTGGCTCCTCATCCTCTTTCCCTCCCTTCAATGTGTGTGGTCGATGATGTTCTGTCCTCGACCCTTTTCTTACCAATGCTTTTTCTGAGTGACCACATTAACCATCATGGCTTTGTTGCTCATTTCTGTCCAAACACCCAAATCTATACACTGCCACACCAAACCTGCACTTTCAACTGCCTATGGGATGTTTTCAGCAACATCTCACACTCAACATGTCCCAAACTTAATATATCTTTTCCCTGAATCCCACCCCTTCCCTTCTTTTTCTGTTGACAGCACCATCATCCTTGCAATTCCTGTTACCTTTCATCAGGTGCCAAGGTCTGCTGGGTATTTTCAAGGGTGGGTATGGTATTATCTGTTATCTCCTTCAACCTAGCAGAGTATGCTGCCCATTTATCAACTGGTAACAAGAAGTCTGTTAACATGTATCTGTTCTACTACTTGGCCAATTTTCGAGCCCTATCCAAATACGTCCTTTGTTTCAGTCTTCAGGGAAACCACATTGGAGAATCAGGTGCCAGGATGATCTCAGAAACCATCAAGACAAATGCCCCAGATTGTATTGTTGAAATGTGAGCCACAATCTCTGATGGAACTTTCTCGTGCAGTAAGCAGAACAGGGAAGAAACCAAGCAGGAAGTCTGAACGCTAAGAAATTATTAAAACAAGTGATAGCCTGAAGGTCAGTGGCATGGTAGTTCTAGCAGGAAGGAGCTTATTGATCCTCTGGAAGAAATTTCAAAGAGAGGTCATCATCTACCTCCAAAACTGAGCACCAGTACAGGAATAGCAATGATTGATAACCTGCATAAGCAGGGTAAATTCTTCTATGGATGGATTCCAGGATATAGACCTTGTGATTAAGGGTTCAGCCACTGGAACAACAGAGGAAGGTGGTTGGCCATAGGTAAATAGCTGTTTATAAGGCCATTAAAAGTATCAACCTGACTTGTGTAACAGAGGAAACGTTCCTTGGTTCTTCCAAGCAACACACGTCGCTAAGAAGTCACAATTCCTCAAGAACCGTGGAAAAACTGGGGAGGGGTGTGTTTCGAGATGGTTTAAGTTGTGGGGCTCTGGAGATGGAAAAACTAAAATGGTATTTTCATTTCTCCAAGTTTTCCACCACGCCAGCACTAAGCAAATTATTCCTCAATGACAAACATAGGGGTCCTAGTATACTAGACTGCAAACTCAGTATGTCAGCAGTGTGATGTGGCAACAGGAAAAAAAAAAAAAGCTGATGTGATTTTGTTCTGCTTATTAGCAGAACAAAGGTGGTAGTAATCCTAATGTATTATGGGCCAGATAATATCTGGAGTATTCAACCAAGTTCTTGGTGCCCCATTTTATAAGGTATATAGATCATTTAAAACATGTCCAGAGCAGAGCAACCAGGATGGTGAAGGTAAAAAAAAATACCTTTCAGGTCTTTTTTTAGGTCCAGATCTGTGATTTCATCAGTGTGGACATTTCTGTGATTTCATCTTAGTGTGGAAACTCCTTCTACCAATGCAGATCTACAACTAACTCATTTGTAACTTAAAGCCTTAGAGAGAACCTTTCTGGAAGTCTTTCAGATGAACTTCTTTCAGTGGCCAAAAGGGTCTTCACCTTAGCTAATGTGCTAGGCTTGTTGGTTTGGAGAAATATTGCCTCCATTTTTGCTTTTTTGTTTCCAGTGCTCCACAGGTAAACCACCGATTGCTTTGTCACTAAACCCTCTCTCATTCCTCCTATTAAAATGCCATACTGAGAGCAGGTAAAAGACAAGGGCATGTTTTGCTCAGAGAAGATTTGGAGAGCAGGGAGATATGGTTTCTGTCTTTATCCCAAAGTAGACAGATTCCATTTGTTTTTGCTTGGCTCTGAAGGATAGAACCTGGCACCAATGAATGAAAGCATATAGGAAAAACACAACAAAGCACAACAAAGATACTTTCTCACAAATGAAACCGTCTAAAAATGGAATGGGCTGCCTTAAGGGATAGTGCACTGTCTGTTAGTGGAGAACTTTAAGAGGAGGAGAAGACTAATTCTCCAGCTAGGGACTGGACTAAATAACCCCTCTTCTACAATCCTATAATTTTGATCTAACACACTATGGGAACGTGTTAAAATATAATGATATAATGAAAATCTGTTGGGCCTCAGTAGACCACAAATGCCACTAGGAAACCTCTATACCAAAGGCAGTGGGTCTATCAAAAAACATTAATTCCCACAAATGGTGGTGCTGCTGAAAAAAAAAATCAGATAAGACACCACAGATCTTACCAATCAAATCAATGAGAATGACTGTGTATGAAGACTATAAAATGATAATCATTTTTAGTTTGAACAGGAAATCATTAGGGCTGTAAAATTCTTTATAGTAAGTACAAAAAATGTGCCAGCCTGCTCACACTTCCCTAACTGCCTCTTTCTCTGAAAGGACACTGGTATTACAGGCAACAAGGTTCTTTTTACAACGAAGTTGGCAGAAAATGGTACTTAGGTCTTCAAAGTTTATCATAGTTTAGTTTAAGACATCAGGCTATATAATGTCAAACCTGGCCAGGAAACCCTAATATTCAGCCATCTCTTCTTTTCTCCATGTGGCATTCTTTAAAAAATTATTTTATTGATACATTTTGTTTTGCTAGAACAATTCCAAAAACAATTATAACCATGTAATCTTAAAAATGGTTAAGCAAAACTGTCTAACACAGCTTTTGGGACCGATAGCACAAGTAACATTTTGTTTCTATAATTCACCATTAACAAAAAGAAGAAAGTGTGCTCTAACATCAGGCATCTGGAATCAACATTGGTTATGTTTCATATGAATCCTTCATAGTCCTCTTTCCTTACAGTACAAAAATATTTTATTATGATCATATACCACAGTTTGTTTATCCATTCCCCAAATGATGAGCATATAATTTATTACTAGCTTTTTGCTACTATAAAGAATGCTATGAATATTTGAGTACCAATGGGATCTTTCGATGACTTCCAAGAATAAACTGAATATAAACCCAATAATGGGATTGCTGAGCCAAAGGGATATGGGTAGTTTATAACTTTTTCTTGCATAATTCTAAATATTTCACCAGAAGGGTTGAATTAATTCACAGCTACACTAATTGTTATCAGTGTGTCTTTCTTCCTACAGCCTAATAATAAAGTGATTATTTTCATTTGCTACCATCTTTGGCAGTCTGATGGTTGGGAGGAGATACATCAGTTGATGCTATACACAAAATTATATTTTATTATTCTCTTTTATCAATTCCTTTCCTTTCTTTCAAGGCTTCTCTGGACCATTAAGTTAATCTCCAGAGAAATGTTTTAAGGAATTGCTCCTAAATGCAGAAACTAATCTTTGATAATCAGCTGGCCCAGGAGAAATAAACCAATGCCTTCACTTCATTAGAATAAGAGTTCTTAAGTTTGCATAAAAGATATGATAAAAAATAAACCCAGTGCTTATGTAGTCATTTAAAAATAAAAATCTTTTCTTTTCCTGAGCAACTGGTATAAACACAACAAATTATTCTGTATGATACTTGCAAATGTGAATCATCTAGGTAATATGATTTTTATAAGAAATTATATACAGTATAGCAATGCAGACCAACAGCCTGAGAAGGAAAAAAGTTAGTCTGAGTATACTCTCGGTCCCAGCACATTGGGTCCCTAAAGGCACTAGCATGTTCCCTGCTATCTCTTATTTTTTTTTAATTTTTTAATTTTTAATTTTTATTTTTTTTCCTGCTATCTCTTATAAGCTAAGGAATTCATTCACATCCCAGTGCTCCTATCAGTGTAACTAACATGCCATGCTTCATCTACAAAGATGTCAATGCTGACTTACCATCACTTAAGACATTTGTTTTTGAGTTGTTTTTCCTATAGTAAAGTTGTGGCAAACATCACACAGTTGTTGATTGACTGGAGTGAATTCAATTCAACAAGTATCTATTTAGCATCATTTATGTGCAAGACACTGTACCAGGCAAAAATGAGAATGTCCCTGTCCTCAAGCAGCTTATTATATTCTACTGGAATGTACTGTAGCTATGAACAAAGCAAAACTAATTGGCCCAACAAGCATCACATTCACAATACTGGTCTCATCAGCTTCACATCCTAACTATACTTGTATGGCTGATAGGTTTGTTATAAAGAATAACACACTATTATTATTATTTAAAAATGCTCTGAGTTTTTCCCATGGAAGGGTAGTAGGTTTGTTATAAAGAATAACACACTGTTATTACTATTTAAAAATGCTCTGAGTTTTTCCCATGGAAGGGTATTACTCAGGTAGGTAAATAGTATTACTATGGGTTTCACAGTTACAGCTAAGGATTTTTAATATTGGTGTCAACCTATGGATTTATCTTAATGGATATCTTGTTAAAGACTTTGTTTTTTACGCTCCTTGAAAAAAAAAGCTCCATAGAGAATTTGGGTGGTGATGTTTTTTGTTTTTTGTTTTTTTGTCATTATTTTCGGTATATAACCACATTTTAAAGTCAGGCCAGACTCTTGCTGGTAAATAAGCTATATTCTAGCTTTAGCATTTTAGAAAAAATGGAGTAACTCCTTGGAACCAATTAAATTCCACGAAAGAAAAAAATATAACTTCTGAAGTGGCCAACAAACTCTGGCTTGTAGCATACCATGTCAACTATGTCTATTCGGTACAACTTTTTCAAGCTGTAGAGAGATGGTATTTAGGGAAAAGGTGTGGAAAATGTACTAGATTGGAAATCAAACCACCTGGCTTCTCAAATCTCAGCCCTACCATTAACTCAATGTGTCACCTTGGGCAAGTCTCTATCCCTTTCTATGCTTGTTTTCTAATTTGTAATAGGAGAGGATCAGACCAAATAATCTTTCAGTTGCATATATTTTGATCCAATGAGTCTAAATTGTCATACAGGCTCCAAAAAATTTTAGATTTCCTATATTAATCAGGAATAAACATGGAAATCTGCTTGTATAACAATGTATATTTGCTAACAGTGGACTGTTGTCACCATCCCTATTCTATAGATGAGGAAACTGAAGCTCAGAGAAGTCAAGCAATTTGCCCATTGTTCCATGACTAATAAGTGGTAAAGGTGGGTGCACTTTTGGAAGGGGGGTGCAGAATCGAGGCCAAATGGTTTTGATGGCCAAAAAGAAAAATCACTGAATTGACTACTTAAGTGCTTCTTACTACGTGTATTTTACATCAAAGCTTTCTCCTGCCAGAAAGAGGCAGTCGCCAGAGGGGAAGAGAGAGTGCTGAGACAAGAGTCAAGAGACCTGGCCTTTAGATCCTGGCTTCTGTCTCATTAGTCTAGGCCCTGAGGCCTCAGTTTTCCCCATCTGTGAAATGCGGTTGGACAAGATGATGTCTAAAGTCTCTTCCGCCTCAAATTCTTTTTAAAAAGATTATTTGAACAAATGCTTAACATTGAATGTTGATACAACCAACAAAATCTGCTTAGTAACAATTTACATTTAAAATCAATTAATTTGGATATATGAAGTATCATAATTTTTCAATCATTCCATTAAGTCTTAAGTAGGGTTTTTTGTTGGTCCATTCATTCTTATTCACTCCTCCTCTTATATGGTTGTGGTTAATGTGTACTTCATTTTTCTGGTTGTATTTTTTTTAGCTTTGTATTATTTTAAAGGACTGTCTGGATTTATTTTCTTCCTCAGATTAGTCTTAATTGCTTTGTAGTATTCCATTCCATTTATGTATCATAATTTATTTAACTACTCCACCTGTGGTCAGACACTTAGATTGTTTCCAGTTTTTTGAGATAGCATATAATGCTACAAAAATCTTTGAACAGACAATTTTTTTTTGCTTCTGATAACTTTCAGAGGTTATTATCAACAATGGGAGTAATGGGTCAAAGAGTATGATTGCTTTGTAACTTGTACTGCATGCTGCTAGGTTGCTGTCTAAAAAAATTCTACAAGTTTTACAGGTTTACAATTCCACTGCTGACGTTTTAGATTTGCTGACAGGTAATCTCATGGTCTCAGGGAAACGAAAAATCTAGGTCAATAAGATTCACAAATTTAATACAGATAACTGAAAAATAAGACAGATCTGATGAAAAGGTGGTCCTGGTTGCCTGGGGAACATGATCTTTTTCAATACTAAGTGAGCTGAAATGGAAGTGAAGAAAAACTGAAACAGAACTGCAGCCTAATATAAAGGCTTTCAGGTGTCTTTCTCACCTATAACGACGTTCTACAATGATAGAAACTAATCTACTAAATTTCTTATTAGGGAAAGACAGTGTAGCATAGCAGAAAGAGCCCTGAATTGGATGGAATTCAAGAAACCAAGGTATTCTGCTCAAGAGCTCCAGAGCCATACACACGTCACAGCCTTTCTTCATCTTAATCTCATTTTTTGTAAAATGCTAGTTGTATTAGATGAATTCAGCTCTGACACTCTACAACTCTGTGACTGAAACATTAGAAAAATATGTTTATTTAAGAAAATTCAGAAGTTGGTACAGAGAGCACACAGGGAGTTTTAAACTTAAAAATTAGACTCTTAAAAATCAGTTATGTTGCCACAGTATTCTAAAACCATATGAGAGCAGCATGCACTGGAGGAAACTGTTCCTGGGGTGGTTCCTAAGATTTGACTTGTAACACAATGGTTTTAGTTATGTTTCTCTTCTCTCTGTGATTCTGTGGACCTTTCTGTACCTCCTCTATGATAGGAAATAATAAAGAAATCCTGTTTTCCAAAAATAGTAGGTAAATATATTCAAAAAATATTTGGTGGTAGTTTTGGTTCCTGTTTAAATCTCATGAAATCTAAGCAAAGGAGGATCCAGCTTGAATGTCTTCAATAATGAACAGCTAATTTAGTTAAAATAACGCATCTTACTTCCCCAAACTTCTCATCATAGATTTACCTATGTTGTGTTTAATTAACATGGGGGCCAGAAGGAGGAAGCTAGAAGTCATTGTCACTCTCATCCAGAGGCTCAGGTTTCCGAGCCCTACGATTTGGTTTAGTGGGGGAGAGAGCCATGCTGTCATCTTCCAAATCATCATCATCTTCTTCATCATCTTCCATATCAATTTCACTGTCCTCGGAATCTTCCTGCAATTAAAAAAATGGCAAATGTAACAACACCTTCTACTTCTTAGCTAGTTAGGAAGTTAAAAGCCAACAACCATTTTCCTAACAGTTCAGAAGAAAAAAGCACTACATATCATAGGAGAAAAGTAGTCAGGCCCATACATAGATGAAAGTCTCTGCATTAATAATACTGCTTTCAGTCATCAATTTCCAGACCAATAAACCTAGCATAAATCAGATTTACTATTGTTATATATAATGCCATGGCTTTCAGCCAATTACCCTGGAAGTTGCTTTTGGGACCCAAAAAATCTCACTTGGAAGTTATTTTGTCTCTCTGAGGTCTCAGTTTCCTCATCAATAATTTTGAGGATAAAATCCACACTCTCTTTTTCAAAGCACTATTATGAGGACAACACTATAAACTGTAAAGTGCAGTAGAAATGAGAGTATGTTTTATTATCCATGGATGAAAGAAGATTCTGAATGGAACTGAGGGTATGTTCATTTTCATTCTTGTTAGACTTAGAGAAGAGAAGAGAATGTGGAAAGTAGGTATGAGGAGCAAAGTGGAGAGAGGAGCCCATCTCCTAGTCTATGGGGGAGGGCGGCAATCTTTTGAAGGGATGTATAGGTTGGGCCTATTTTGGGTATATTTACATGTGCTATATGTAAAATGCTTTGCAAACCTTAAAGTAATGCACAGATGTTAGCTATTATTATTATCATTACTATTATCGAATGAACAGAAGACAAAAAAAAGTATGGAATAACAGTATACAGTACACCCATTCTGGACAGCCTAGGCCTACATGAATTTATAATGCAATCAGCTATGCACAGGAAGGCAAAAAGGTTAGTTAGCAGCCCCCAGCCACCAACAACTCTTTCCCCAGACTGCTACTTCTATTAGTGGAAGCTTCATCTTCTTAGTCTTCAAATGAGATAATGTGTGTAAAGTGCTTGTCTATTGTTCCAAGCCTGAAACTGTGGAGCCATCCCCTACTCTCCATCGAGCTCCACCTCAAATCAATCAGGCGCCAAGTCAAACTTTCCACTCTCGTGTCCCTCAGCCATCCCTTCTTTTCCACGCTCACTGCTGATTTCCTAATTTATCACCTCACCTTTGGACTTACTACAACCGTCAAATTTCTAACTGATTTTCCTGCCTTCATCCCACAAAACACTGTCAAATAAATCTTGGGGTCTAAACACTGCTTTGCACATGTCAATCCTTTGCTCAAAAACTTTCAATACTGACCTACTGCCTCTAAGTCCAAATTCAGCCTAGCATTCAAGGCTCCCCAGGATCTGGCTCCAATTTATCTTCCCTATATCACCTTCGACTCCCGTCAAATCAGTCAGGCCATTACTTCCAGATCATGCACATTTCTATCTCTACATCTCTGCTGGAGTGATTTCCCACAGAGAATGCCTTTTGCTCCTCTTTGTTTAAGGCCCAGCTTAAGTCCTACTGGTCCTTTTCTCCCTTCTCCTCCACCCCTTTTCTCTAACATCATCTTTCATTTACTGTTATAAATCATGTTTCTTTGAGGACAGTGACCACGTTTCTGCCTTAATAGGTTATATCATTTATTACATAGGTACGTCACTTAACGCTAGGCCTCTGTTTCTTCATTTGTAAAATAAGGGGATTGAAATACATGACTTCTAAGGTCCTTCTAAATTTATAATACTATGACCCTGTATCAATGTTCATCTTTTTCATTACAATGAGACTGTAAGTTTCTTGAGGAAAAAGAACCATGTCTTGTGCTTTATTTTAGTACTGGCTAGAAGGCCAGCTTTCTATCCCTTATGCCAGAGATGTCAAACACACAGGCTATGAACTGCATGCGGCCTGAATCAGATTAAAATGTCACTGGGAAATATTTAACAAAAGAAATAAAAATACAACAAAGCACAGATAATATGAACATGTGGTTTTCTAAGTTAATATGTGGCTCACAGGGATCCTAATGTCTGATTTAATGGGCCTTGTTTCTATCTGAGTTCAGCCCTGCTGCCTCCTATGCCAAATGTCATTGTAGTGCAGTTATTTATATGCATGTCATATACCCCTCTATAGCCCTAATGAAGGCAGAAATATATCATTCTTCTCTGTACCACCCCAAATGCCTGACAGTGCCTTCATGTAATAGGTACTCAGTATTAATGCAAGGCACTATGGTGAGTACAAAGACCAAAAAAGAATCACCACCCTGAAGACATTTCCGGTATAATGATGAAGGTTATACTGCTAAAGGTGCAAGTAAATTATCATTCAGTCAGCATTTCCTAAGCATTTACTAGGTGACAAGCAATAAGCCCTTTTGGGGATTCAAAGAATAA